GCTCACAGCTTTCAGAGCTATTACCGTCATCAGCGGCAGTGCAGGCAGGTACCAGCTCAACAGTAGAGGTATATATATATTTTTTTTTTCAGCCGCGCTCTGCTAGATGACATGACTACCGTATAGTACCGTAGTATACTTGACGCTTGTCCGTGGGGAAGCGCGTACTAGCGTAGACATGTGGAAAGGCGAATCGTTGTACGTGTGGGGGAAGCAAGAAGCAAGTTGGAACAGTGAACCAGGCCCTTCGGCAAGAGCGCTGCAAGCCTTGTGAACCCCGGCTTTTCAATTCTGAGCCCAAAATGAAACCCCCACCAGGCCCCAAAGTCATCTGCGACCCCTGACGCACTTTGCCAAGGCGGCAAGCCTCCACGATGACTACATGGCGAGCACGTTTGCCTCAGGTGACCTGGCGGACTATAACTCACCAGGCGGCCTGGGAAGGTGGACTTTCGCAACGTCGAACAGCCACATTCCAGGGACAGGGACAGAGACGATGCTGCAGTATACAACACAGGCAAACGGTGTGCGAGCACCGAATTGTTTCATCACCCCGAACGCTTTGAGCCCGTTAGACATGCCAGGCATTGGCACAAGCACCGGTGTGCTCATTACTCCAGAGAGCACTGAAGGGAAAGCGGACGACAACTCTCTTGCTATGCACCCTGGCTACCACCCTGACGAGCAATACCTCAAGGTGAAGTTCACAGCAGCGCACGCAGTGAATGTGGCCGGCTATGTGAAGGAACTCGGTGCGCATTGCGGAGGTATCGACGTGTGGATGTTCAGTGGCTCGACGCTAATCACCGATGCGAGCGCCCTCAACGATGACACCCCCTTCACGTTTCCAGCCACCACCGTTGCAGCTGGCTCCACGCTCACAATTTCCGTGGGGTCGAACGGAATTTTCAATTGCGATCACTCCTCCCTCTCTCTCACCATGACATCAGGTTAAAGATATAGAAACGGCAAGGCGTTTGTGACGTGCGAGCTGATCGAGGACATGGGCAGATGCAGAGCCGTTTCACAGTTGCGCGATCCCTGCAGAAGCGAGGATTCCGTAAGTTGTTTTGGTTGCGGGCTGGAGCAACACTGCCACGGATCAGAAAGGTTTCGGGGCTTAGTTCTATAGAGTTGCTGTTCAAGGCAATGCTGATCGACTGAACATGGCAGGATGATTCTGCTCGTGTCTCCGAATGCGCAGTTCTTTTAAAGTTGCGGCCGTGCCGTGCAAATACGACCAGGCTTCTTCCTTCGAAAAGTGCGCAATGATCTCCCATGGCCGAGTGCAGCTGTGGCGCTGTATTGCTCGCGGTTGCGTCAGGGCGTCAGGCCTTCCGGGGCTCTACTCCGCTGAAGTCATGTTCGGGTGAGAGTTTCGGCACAGGGCATCTCCTTTCAAAGCCTTGACACTTCCGAGGAATCATCCCGCGGAGAGTCCGATCCCGGAACCCCCGCTGAAGTGCACTTTCGGCGACCCAAAGATGTTGCTGCATCCCCCTGCTGCACGTCGAATCGCTTGATTTTGTGGCGGGAGTTTCTCATAGAAGTATTTGTTGGTGGCTTACGAAAGGAAGGGGACCCCCTAAAATAGACTTGGTGAATATGATGATGACAATGATAATCATGATGACCGTCATCATCACAATAATAATACAAGCATCTTATCATCGCGGCCACTCGTCACGGGAATGATTTAATATGAAGCAACCGACAACAGTACAGCATTTCAGAACCGTTTTCCAAGACGCATCATGTGTTAATCACAGTCACTGTCAGAGTAGTCGCAACAAGTCATAGAAACAAGAGAAATCTTGGCGACAATGGCACAGCTCCGTTAATTGCGGACGATCATGGCAATTTCGAAGCACTGACGGCACGAATTGCCGTTATGAGTTTGCTTGCAACTTCCGAAGCAGTAGCAGCCGTAGCCAAATGGAAGCCTAACGCATGGCCCGTCAGTTTCCTGACAGCAAAGCTGCTATATGACAAAAACGTGGCGACCATCATCCTCAGTCTGACAGCTTTCGACATCGCTATCGTCGTCGGCATTGCAATCATCATTTTGATCACGAGCCTTAGCGCAATCGCCACCACCACCACCGTCGTGGTAACGGCGACCTGCATCAACACCTGTAGTCATTGCGGTACTGAAGTGATACCAGTAGTGCTGTAGCTAAAGCTGA